ACACACACACACACACACACACACACACACACACACACACACAAACACAAACACACAGGTGCTTCAGATCTTCTGAACCGGTTTTAAAGTATGTTCATGTCGGGTTTTAGTCCATTTAGGTTCAATTACCTTATTTTAAAATTGTAGGAAATGTGTTTCCTCTTTTACCACTCAAAGAAGCGAACATAAATATAGTGATGCAGGTTGTATTTTTTTTTGCTTAGATTTTGATACATCTGTCAATAAGATAGATTCAAAAATATTAAGGTCAAAAATATCCATCAAATGCACATTTGGAAACTGCAACAACAACGTCTCTGCTCAGAAACCTGACACCCTGGATTAACCATCGAAGTGAACCAACTCACAACTCTCTCTGGAACTTGCTGTTGATCAAGTCCCTTTCAAACTGTGCACAGTGCATTTTGAGTCGTATCTAAAAATATATATATTCAGTGTTTTTTAAACTTTAAAGTGCTGCTGAATGTGTCAGGCAGGTTGAGGAGAGGACAATAATCATACTTTTTGTAATTGAGTGAACTGATCCTTTAAAGACAAGTAACTTGACCGACATTATCATTTACTATTTTCTTATTTTTTGTTCATTTAATTCTAGATCACACTGTCATGCTTCAATGTGATTGTGAGCAGAGACTGAAAACTATCTTGGGGCATTGAAGGAAGCAAGTCATGTTAAAGTTCTGTAATTTGTCATATGAGAGTGTGCGTTTTTCCATGTGTGGCTTGACCTAATATTAAAGACAGCTCTGCCCTTTCTAGTGAGAGTCTATGAATTAAACAGAGCAACATAACAACTTCACAGTTGTTTTTGACTTGTGCATTAGTATAGGGAATTATTCTTTATGTACCTCAAGGTCAGTTTCTTCTCTTATCTATGTCATCCTCTTCTTAGTAGCAAGAAACCTCTCCTTCAACAACACGTCAACCAGATCATCACATCTGTCTGTCTTGTTCCACAAAAACACCCATCACCCTCCTTTTCTGCTGCTTTAACTCTCATCTGTGAATTTGTCACCTCCGGAATTTACTATTGTAGACTCCAGTGCATCCAGAACCCTCCTGCCCACCTACTCATCCACACCCATAGGATTTAAATATGCTATAAAATGTGTTATGATTATTGTTATTATTATTAATCCCTTCAGTGCTCTCTCTTTCATCTGTTCAAAAGAGTAAAGGCATCAAGTTGTGGTGATAGCTCTCTTTGAGATCAATGACTTTTGACTCTAAATCATGCAGTGATGACAGGACCCATGAAATAGTCTGGCTCAATATAGCCTCAACATTTGACTAAGAAAGCAGTTTTGCAACAATTCAAAAATTATTCATAATAAAGATATGACTTTTTTTTTTAAAGTAAGCATAAAGCCTGCCAACGTCTTAATGTTGTCCCTGCTGCACACAGGTAAAACGACCAATAATACGCACAAAATGAACTGATTTGTCGCTTTATTTCAGTCCTCTTCTCACATTATTAATTGATGGCTATCAGGAATTGAAGTTGATATCAGGAAATAAGATAAAAAGCATTTTAGATAGACTTACCAACCCTACCCTCAAGAAGTGCTGGTAGGTGATGGATTTCTTTAACAGTCAGGCTAGCTGTTTTCCTCCGTTTTCAGTTTTTGTGCAAAACTAAGTTCGTCAGCAAGTTGTAGAGATTCAAACAATGTCAGTTTTTCAATCACAGAATCAAACGTCAGTCACCTCATTGCACATGAGGAACCCATGGTGGATGTTTTTGATGTTTCACACAGACAGACCCACCTCACCTTTGTGCCCTCAGCGAGTGCGAAGCCTCCACCAACCAGCAAGGCCACTTTCCACGGCATCGAGGCCTGAAACTCTTTCCAGGAGATCATGGCCTCTGAGTTGAGAGAGATTCAAATATCTCGTTCACATGAGCAGAAAAAATAACAGGTAGAATTACTCTAAGTAGGCATGTTTTTGTTTTTTAAAGTACATTGAAGTGACAAGGTGAATTGTAATATTTCATGTAATTACCATATTTCCTGGAGGGTCCATTGGCAGGTAAGATGAAAAAAGAGAGACCCAGTAGAAGTGCTACGGTGGCATCAGTGATGTGGCCGGAGTGACTGATCAAGACAAGAAAAAGCTCTTCTGGGACATGTTTTGTTGCCACTGCATTCAATATTCAACCTAGTTGTTAGACATATCCCCTGAAAAGACCAAAACCAATAACCTGTAGGTTTATCTCTAAACACCTTTTTGACCTCCCCTGCCAGTGGGTCCTCGCAAATTCACTATTGTTAGAAACTGCAGTTTCTTTCCTCAACTTTTCAGAGTTTCAGGAAGTATACTGGTGGTAGCACCAGGCCTGGACCTGGACTTCCTTTCCTTTGTTCTCTGAACATTCCAGTTACACTGAGTTTTTGGTGGTGATGCTGATGTGTCCTTTGTTTTTGCTTCTCTGTAAGTTACAGTTTATTTCTATTCATTTGGATTTGGATGTGTAAGAGTTGACATGAAGAATATCAATACCTAACCATTCATGGAATCTGTTTAATAGTGTTCAGCTAATCATCATTTGAAATATTAATTGGATTCTTGTTTGTAAGTATTTGACTCAAGGTTAAATGTATGGCTTGTTAAGACAGTAATTTCTTATCTCTTTATTTTCTTTTAGAACCATGGCAGTCATCCTTTGAATCATTGTGAGAATCGTTATTCATATAATTCAGGAAAAGATCAAATGAAGTTTGAGTGCATCCTCTGTTTCCTGGTGGCTCCAGTTAGAGTTTTTATCAAATCAAACAGGTGGAATCAAAGTTTTCAGCAGCGGTTTAATCTGCATCTTCACTGAGTGTTGGACTGAGTCAAAATAAACTACAGTGTAATATACACATGGATGAGACTCACTGGGGGAAGAGAGAAGCCCAGCCCGGCATGAACCCTGGAGATCTGGTCAACCACAACAGCACCATCAGCAGGAAAACCACTGCAGTGACAATCTCCTGAGAGCTGGAGGAAATGAAATGAAATCATGAATCTATTAACGTATGTATGAACATATTATTAGCTGATATTATCAATGAGTTAATTAATGAACATTCCAATGTATAATTGCATGAATGAATGATGTTTTAACTGCCTGAAAGATTTAATGAGTGAGTACATGAATGAATGATGGAATACATGTGTGAAATGACCAAATAAATGAATTCATAGATGCATGAAAGAACATTTACACTCCAAGAATGAATATAGGTGTAGTGAATTGAAGACCATATATTGGCTCATTTCCTGTTCAGTTGACTGCTGACTGTGAGGATCAGAGGGGATGATTCATTTGATGTTAATACTCATCAAATCATTCAATGAACCCTGTGCCCTCTGGATTGTCACACTGTAGGGGTAAAGCATTCAGATCATTACCATTTTCTTGATGCACGTCACGCATGCACGGCCCGCTTGTCGAGAACATGGCAAAGGATTACTCATCTGACCACATCACCTTTTCCAAACATGTGTACACACACCAGTGCCTGTTTCTGCATCACTGAGCTCTAAAATGTGCAGTCATCTCTGTAATGAGGGATCTATGCACCGCAGCTCTTTGATTATATCCCTCTCTAGGGAACTATCGATGGACTGTACTTTCTGACACTGCATCATGGAATCAAAAGTATGTAGTCGACCACAGCTTTTGCCCCTGTGCTTTCCAAAGATGAACCTGTAATGTCACTTTAGTCACTTTTCGTTCTGAACGTCTTTGTGACTGAAGCTCCTGCTGTCCGTGCCCCAACAATGAGCACCTCTTCCAAAGTCCCTTTAAACCTTTTCCTGATTCAGGTTTGGGGCTAGGGGGCCACTGGCCCCAGTTAAAATCTGATTGGCCCATGAATGGCAAGCAGTCTGAAAATAAATAAATATGACAATGTGTTCAGACTTTTAATTTTCTTAGCTTTTCTGAAGTATACAATGTGCTTGAACAATGATATATAATAAAAAAATATATCCAATGATGTGTGGCTAGTTTGATCAAAGCCATAAAGCTTACAGTAAAAAATAACTTTCTGCTAATATCTCCTCACGGTCTGCTTGCTGTACACTGTGTGCACATGACTTCTGTCAGACATCACCTAATCAGCCTTAAATCACTTTAATGGTGCAAGCACTTAATCTCACTCTACCTACGTCATAAAAAACCTAAAGATCCAATGGCTATACTTGAAGATAATGCTTTGGTTGTTAAGGCTATAATGAATCCAGAATGACACATACACTACGCTCAGTGGAAGCAGTGAAATGGAGACTTGAATATTTTTAACAGAGAGCAGATGTGTAGAGGAGTTAAGCTTTCGTGTAAGTGCACGATCAACGTGCTTCAATCACTCCAGGACTATGCCTTAGAAAATAATAATATTAATAATGTAACCCAGGATAATTTCTGTAGTTGACCCTGTTACAGATGTTCCTTTAATCCATCGCCTGAAGCTATCGGTAGCTAAAGTCCTACAGTCCCTTGAATGCATCACCTGCAAACTACTGGCAGGTGCTGTTAACTGGCTGTACACACTAACACACAGTAACACACAATAACACACAGTATCACACACCAATATACATTAACACACACATTAACACACAGTAATACACATTAACACAGAGTATGACACTACTAACTACTAACACTGGTTGCACAGCACGTAACTGCGTATCATTACAGTGCAACACAACACAAATTGCTTTTCTCAACTTCTACCAACTACAGCACAAGTCAAGCAAAGCTAAAGAACCACCACGTAAGATGTCACCACTTTCAAAATGGGTGAGAGTTTGTGTTGATCGTGCACATGTGAGTAACTGACAGGAACAGCAATGTGGACATAAATGATTTAATAATGATTTAATAATGAACGTGATTGCATGATTGAATGAATGAATGATCACCTCATGGGTCCCAGCAACTTGTACTCTTCTTCTATAACTTTTCTTGCTGCCTTCTCTTTCTCAGACCGCTCCCCTCCACACCGCCACAGGAACCTGAAGCTGTGTGTGTGTGTGTGTGTGTGTGTGTGTGTGTGTGTGTGTNGTGTGTGTGTGTGTGTGTGTGTGTGTGTGTGTGTGTGTGTGTGTGCGTGTGTGTGTGTGTGTGTGACAGACAGATTATATTATTTAAAAGGCAACAGGGAAATGCTCACAGTGAAAGAAATGACAACCTGTGATTGGTTAAAGCCACACTGAGAGCACACAGAGTTTAGCAGCTAATGGGTAGATTACTGAGCATGTGCGAGGATCCGCTGCGTTCATCATTAACCTTTCTGACACCATCGCAAGGCTAATGCTAACATTAGCTTCACACTCATGTCTCAGCTGCTGGTTGTGTCAAAATGAAAGCTATAAATCATAGAATTGTGAGATTTCTTCAAATATTTAAGCAGTTTCTGACATATTCCTTGTCTTTCATGTTCTTTGTATGTTGTTTTGTCTCCATGATTCTTTTAACTTGTGTACTTATGCGCCCAATCCTGTAAATCCAACAATTTTTAGGTTAACTAACCCTAACACCTGGCAATAACTCAAACCAGGGAAATGATGGTAAAAAAAAAGCCCTGATAGGTTTCAAGCTTGGAAGCATCACAGCCAGTATGAACTAAGATTATATATGTTAGGCTGGAACATTTATGAACTTGTTTCCTCTACTTGTTTCTGTCCATAACACACACCTATGTAGATGCTGTAATAAGCAGACATCTATTTGTAGCAAGGTACAACAAAGCATTTACTTTCTCAGGAGACTGAGTTCATTTGAAGCAAACACACACATCCTGGTGTCCTTTTTCAAATCTATAATGCAGAGTGTGATGCAGTGTGGAATCGGGGTGGGGTATAGTTGTCTCTCTGTTTCCTAAACATGTAGAAAAGGAGAACTGACCAAAACAATTAGTTCATCAGTGTGGCCATGGACCGCCTGCACCTCCATATTGATAATACACAGAAGTGTGTGACAGTGAAACTATAATGATAATATCAATAATAATAATAATCAATAAAGAGGATATCATACAGTAAGTGCAACAAAAGAAGAACCGATGTAAACAGGTAGGTATGACTCGGTCACAACACACAGAAGTTGTGATAAAACACAGACAGGAAGTGATTGGTGGTGCAGAAGGTGTGTTGATACTCACTCTGAGCCAATGAAGAGCCAGTAGAGCCATATCCATGTGAGCAGCAGCACGATCACACTGATGGGCAGGCACAACAAGAGCCAGTTCCCGAAGTTAATGCAGTTGCAGTTTGGGTAAATCCTGTATATAAAGACAGTCTTTCAGGTTTTCTCATGTTTTTTAAATGCACACAAAAGCTCTTAATCTTCAAGTAACATAGATCAAGTTGCTTCTCATTTATTTTACAATTTGTTTCAAATGCTTACAGTTATCTCTCTCTGTTAAATTTACATACAAACGAGTTTACTGAGCCACTCACTTGTTGAGGTATTCGGAGAAGATGAGGTTGGGGGAGGTTCCAGGCAGCGTGGCAATGCCGCCGATGTTGGAGGAGTAGGCGATGCCGATCGACATGGCTTTACACATCATGAGGTCCTGCTTGGTCCTACTAGGAGCTGCAGGTGGACACACTGCAGCCTGCTGTTACATCACAGAGGGACAAATTACCCATGCAGCGTGAATGTAGTTATCACACAACCAGTAGTAGTAGAAGTAGTAGCGATGACATTTAAGAAATAAATATACAAGCAAATATAAATGTAAGTAAGTTGGTAGCAAAGAAACTAGTATTGTTTCTAAAACTTATCCTAGATTATGTTAGCACCCCCATTCTTTAGAAATAACCCTCCAAGGAGATTAGACTGAGTGGCCCAGTATCCTCTTTGAAATCGCTCTTTATAAATGTGCTTTTACTGGGTTTGAGCTCTGAACTTTTATCTTTTAGGTAACTTTATAACACTGACTTATAACCCCTATTTTATTTGCTTATTTACTTATTTTATAATGTATTATTTTAGGTCTTTCATTTAGTCATCTCACTTTTTTTATTAACAATTTTAATTGCTTTCATCATTTCATCTTCCAAAGCACTTGGATTTTGAAAACTGCTACATAAACAAAGGATATAATAAAAATAAGAATTCGAATAATAGTAATTATTAGGATTATTAATATTAATATCATCATCATTCTTCTTCTTGTTATTATTTGTAGGACTAGTAGTAATAGCAGTGTTAGCAGTAGTAGTGATAGTAGTGGTGGTGGTAGTCATAGTTGTAAAGGCAGATCAGACAAATACAATAACAAACTGTGATTTTATTTGTGCAGTGGTTTTTTCACCTGAGCTGCTGGAGGCTGTGGCAGCGACTGTATCTGAACACATGTGAAGGTTTCCTCAGGACTTTCTGGATCCTTCCCGTCACTGACAAACAGAGGATTGTAATATAAATATGAACAAGATGAACCGTAATCCCAGGAAAATCCAGAACCCTGAAGATAACAGAGCAGGGCAATCAATAGTGAACATCACAAAAACATGAGCTGTCACATACCTCACAATTTCTTTCATCTTGTCAATGTGGCCGTCACTACCTGAAAAAATAAATATCAGACTATGGCTAACATCTCTCATTTCTTATTTTACCCTGATTCTGTTGTGAGAGATGATTTTATGGGAGTTAACCTGTGGTAATGATGCTTCTCTACAGAGCTTTGTTTCAGCTTATGTTCATTGCAGACCTTTTCTTTCCCGGTACTGCAGTCTTACATCCTTTATTAAATATTTATATATGTATATTTACTTATTTATCCAAAGCACCTTATAATTGAAGGAGGAACACTGATGTGTCAGTACAGTAGACAACCATAAAGTGGGCACTAATTGTTGAATAAGACAGTTTGGTTAAAAAAAAAAAAAAAAAAAGGTAATGAAATTCCTCCTATTTTGTAACTATAGTGTTAAAGAAGTTAAGAGAGGAGGTGCCCGAAGGATCAATAAAGTTCTATCTAATCTAATCTTAGCAAGTCTCCTGCTTCAGACCTTCTTAGAGAGGAATGTCCCTGCTCTGAAAGCTTTAGCTTGCTTGAGATGAAGAGGACATTTTAATGTTGCTATGGTGATTGGAAGATCGATGGCAAGGATGACTGAGTACACTCTTAGAAAGGTTTATTAGCATCCATGTGGATTGGCTGAGACAAGCAGAGATTTGTGCAATGTGACAGAGTCTGTGGGGGTCACCAGGCAGGAATGACAGTCATGGTTGCATGTCATCGGCAAAGAAGTTACTGAATAAGGGAAGCCATACATATTGATCATTGGACCCAAGAGAAGTGTGACATGCAAATAGAAGGGGCACTAGCACCAAGCCTTGGGGCCCCCCTTTGGGGAGAAAATGTTTGTCCCATATCGAAGAGTACAAATGGCAGGATGAGGTCTGTATTAAAAGGCTGCTAACGACAGGTCCAACAAGATAAGAAAAGAGGACTGACCTGCAGCTCCAGCTGATCTCAAGGTTTCTGTCACAGCTAACTGATTTGGATAAAGGTGTTCATTCACTGAGTGGAATTCTGTAACCTTGATAGCCTTAGATAAGAGAGGAAGTCATGAGAGTGGTGGATGATTCTAAACTTGAGCAGGGTTGAGTAAAGGCTTTTTGAGCAGAAGTGTTCCCGGTTGAATGCAGTGGGAAATGGTCAGTGAAGCATCCGCACGTGTGATTGCTGACACAATGGTGAGGGATGTGGCTTGTCAGAGGTTGGTGCTAATGGGGTCCAGTGTGCATGTAGTAGGGCGACTGCCAGTCAATTTTGATTTCTCAGTCTCGGTGAGAGGGGTGAACATTTGAACTGGGGAGACTGTTATACTTTTTGGAAGCTTGTGTTGAGTGAGTGGGCTGAGTGAGGGACATGGTGAGCTTTTGACCAGAGGAAGCAAGAAATAGTATGAGAGACAATATTGGGGCAACCAATCAATTAACTCTAACACTCTAAGACCTTTCGAGTCTTGATGACCCTTTGGCATGCAGAAGGGGGGGACTGGGATCAAACGGCCAACCCTCTGATTTGAGGACGACCACTCTACAGTATAACTACTTCCTTAACCTGCCAAGTATTTCTGAGGGTATTTTTTATTCCCTTGCAATATGTTTTGAGTTATCTCACAATTATCTATAAAACTTTTGCAGCTCCTTACAATACACGTTGCATTTCCCCACAGTAGTTTTGCATAAGCTCTCGATTCTTTAGCGTTACCCCTAATAGTTTCCCTTTCCCATCATGCAACATCGTCATTTCATTGTAGGTGCAAAAATAAGCAGTCATCTTTATCTATGATTCCTGCAGCTCACCGAACTGTGTTCTTCTAGAGAGACGTCGTGATCTAAGAATTAATTTACTTTTACAATTATAAAACCATGCCCACTGAATAGTAGTACTATATCAGCCCAGTTCAAAATCAAATAGAAGATGAGTGGTAATGGGGTACATAGAGAGTGGATGAGCCTGTCCAGACCTGTCCACCCGACCCAACAGAGATTTGCAAATGATATTCAGGCTCAGGTCGGTCATGATTTTTTCTTACAATGCACATGGGAAAAGAACCAATTACCTGTCAGGGACAGAGTAATACAAACTCAGTGGAGCTTACTTTAACTGCATCAGGCTCGGGTCAAGTTCAGACACAAAAAACAAAATACTTGATGGGTTCACGTTGGGCTCGGTCAGTTTATTCTCGATATCAGACAGGCTCAGACATAAAAATGTGGCCTGAGCTGCACTCTACTATATGTGGCTCATAGAAGAAGAAAAGTATTGCGCGGTATCGTAAAGAGAACGCAAAACATATTGCAAGGGAACGCAAAAATTATCACTGTGACCCTTCTGGATTTCTGTGCTAGCCTTATAGTTTCCTGACCCAAACAGTAGTGTACTTGCCAGGTCACATTTTTTAATTGATTACTCCTTACATTAAATTTCACATTGAAAATGTGTTACCATAACTAATTTCTCAACAACAAATGTACATTGTTGTATTATTTAAGTGAAAATTCCCTAATTTACTCTCCCCTCTGCTGATGGAGGACTGGCTGAAGTGTTTAAGTCCACAAAACACTTTTGGAGTTTCAGGGGTAAACAGCGTTGCAGCCAAATTCAATATATTGAAGTAAATGGTGAGTACTTCTTCGAACATAGAAAACAACAGAAAAATACATAAAATGTCTCCATACTGCTCCTGTGGTGTCATCCAAGTGTCCGTAAGCCCCAACATTTAAATTTGACTCCAAAACTTGGTCATTTACACCATGTTTTTTATGTCAATGGACATTTAGGCTAAAAACATGGTGTAAATGACACATTGGCTGCAAAGCTGTTCACCCCTGAAACTCCAAAAGTGTTTTGAGGACTTTACCCATCCCTCCAGTGGCATAGTGGTAAGTAGATAAGATGTGAATTTTCATTTTTGGGTGAACTATCCCTTTAAATTCTGTTATGTGTGTTCTAATATTTGTCACTGTGATAATAGTAGCTTTATTTTTGTTGTGTCTCCAAATATATTCTTAAGTATAAGACAGAGAATCAACTGAAAATCAGGTACCATCGAGCTGTAGGTTGGGGTTGTCTTCACCGACACATCCCTGCTCCTTGGCTTCCAGGATCTGCTGGAGAACCGCCTCCATGATGGGCATCATCATCATAACAGCTGAGGTGTTGTGGACCCACATGGAGAGGAAGGCACAACCGGACATGAAGCCTAACATTAACCTGCAGACGATGATTGGAAAGTCAGAGCAGGAGCATCCACGAACTCTTTAACACCTATTTTTTTAACCCAGCCAATCCAACAAGGTGGCCAGAGTGAAGAGAGAAATATCTGTTTTTTAAATGTAAGATGTGAATATGTGCAACATTTATTTGTGATACAATCCAAAACAACCTCAAACTATACTGGAAGAAAGACCCATACAATGGACATCTGGGGCAAAACACTGATTTTCTTCTGCTGTTTGACATGTTGAGGGAGTCAGTGAGTTTTTGATTGTGTAATTCAGTTACTCAGTACAGTGCTGTTACTTTCATATATTAGCTTGGCCCTGTGTCTATATCACAGGTTGATCTAGACATTGGTGGATGGGCACCTGATGGAACTGGGGTGAACATGTGAGCAACGAACTTGTAGCTCTCTTAACTAGTAAACAACATAATAAATTACTTAGCCAGTTCGTAATTAGCATATGACTTTTTCATTGAGTAATGTAAAATTAGCTGTTTTCTAGTCATTTGTCCAACACTGTTGACATGTGCTCTATATAATTAAAACCCAATCATAGATGTTTCTCTCAGTTTTGACTTATCATTGTAGGAAGGTACAGGTTTTACTAATGACAATTCTCTGCTCAGTGCAAGTTTTCCAGGAAGACATGACAACGAGCCAGCATGAACCATTAATACCCGGACCCTGAAACAGTTTAATGGAATATCGCCTTTGTAAATTGATGTTTTTAAACCTGTGCTTTTCTTTCTGTGACACGTCACTGAGTATTCTGTGAAAAGGGCAGAGATTGGTTGTGCTCACCATGCAGGGTTGACCCCCACCATGGTGACAAGCCTCAGGGCGATCCTACGGTGAAGACTCCATTTCTCAATCGATGTGGCGAGGCAGATGACGCCTACCAGCAAGAAGTGGAAGTCTTTAAAGTACTCTTTTGCAACCTGCAGGAGAAGCAGAGACAGAGTAATGTCAGATTAAGGCTGTACAAGTATAATAATAGAAGGAGAACAATAACCCAATAATTGAAATTGAATTGAAAATAGGTCATTATAATAGAGAGATAAATCGTGAGTAAATAATTGAACAGCTGCACAAATTCATTAATGAAACCGAATTAAACAAACACAACAGTTATTTAAAAGTAGCCACAATATATATAAGAATTATTATTTATGTCATCACATAAGGAGGCTCCCTCCCTAACTTTTTTAACCACAGTTAGTTCTCCTCCTGTGAGTGGGAATCTGGAACGCTGCTTTCTTTTTCAAATCTATAGTGAAACTAAACCCCTAATCCATCACACGGTCAACCAATCAGAGACATCCACCATCTTCGCCTGCCCCTCTGCTCGCTCACAGGATCTTCAGACCTCGGGGTGAAAATACACCCCTAAAGAATAAACTGCTCATCTAACGAGGAGATACACTCACGCCCGTAGAAGTCATGATGCCAAACATAGGAAAGAGGATGGCAGGGAGCATGGCGGTCATGGACAGAGGAATCACCTCTGTCACCCAGTATGTCGCCATCAGCAGCAACACAAACGCACATTCTGCCTCCTGTAGAACCAGAACACACAGATAATGTTGCATTCATGTGGAATATTAGACTTTAAGAAAGAGCAATGGTTTATGGATTTATCACTTTGTCATAAAAAAACATACATATCAAGAGATTAATCAATCAGCCACATGTAGCTGAGTCTAGTGCTTTTGTCTGTAGTCCCTCTAATGTCCACTAGATGCTGCTTCGAGTAAACGGACTCTGTCAAGTTATCTATTACTTTTATTTGTTAAATTTGTCTTTAATCATGGGTCTCCCTCTTGTAACCAATTGTTTGTCATTATATTTTATCACAACTTGTTCTGGTTAAAGTCTCCAGCTTCTTCACCAGAGTGTTTGTAGCCAATAGCAGGTGAAATAGCTGCATTTTATCTATTGTTAATTTAGTTGATTCATTTTTGCAGGTATACAAACAAAGAGAAAGAGACATCACCTCCCACACTTCTGAGTGACAGGAAGTTAGATGCAATGCAGAGATGATATTGAGGTGATTATGTGGCAACAAAGGTGAATATAGATAAAAGATGAACTCAGTGTTTCCGAGTCGATTTCCACTGTTACAAATAAATAAAAAGAGTTGCCGTGTTTTTTTATCCCTTCAGTTCAGTTTGCTTTGAATGAAAGACTTAATTTGATAGATTTTTTAAAATTATTGTCCAGTTTTTGAGATGCAAGGGACACTAACCTTTGTTCCGACAACAACAGGAAGAGGAAGCAGCAGCAGTGGTGTGAGGACAATCAGGGTGAAGTTGCGATAGTTCCACAATGCTTTCCTTAACCTCTTTAGCATTTTTCGTTCTTCCTTTTGTCCAGTTGTTGTCTTCTTTTCCCTCTTTTCTCGAACTGGTTCCAGTTGTAACCTCACTGTTGTTTAGTTGGAACACTTTAAAGCAGATAATGAGTAACCTATTGCTGGGTCGAGTGGAATGTATGTATGTTTCTTGAGCAAGACACCAAACCTGGCTACAATCACTGGTTATCTCTGTACCCACAACAGTGAGATAGTAAGGCAACACAGCCTTTAATTTATGGCACTTAAGCAGGGCCACATTAGTGGGTGTCACGTTTGAATCTATTTGTGCACCTTGCAGTTGTAATTATGGTAACGGGTCAGGTCCTTGTAGGTGAGGGTCTGCAAAAACAGATCCATGCTAAAAGGTTTCATTTACATTTATCAGACACTTTTATCCAGAGGGAATTACTACAGGGGACAACACTAAAGCTTCAGTATAGTGGAAGAGCTTGATGTAAGGAGTACGTGCTAAATCTGTGATGGAGTTGTTGAAGAGTGGATTTCTTTACAGAGGATGGAGCTAGGCAAGTATTTTCCACCTAAATCCAGTTTTTGTGAGAGTGTAAAGAGAAAATGTAGTGCCTGAAAGTGTTTCTTTCTTTTGCAGATGAGCTCATTATAAAGTCCTCTATTTAGACATCCCTACATAGTGAGTAGGGGGAAGTGACTAAGTGGGGGATTTCAGACACAACCCTTGTGTTTCTCTCTTACGTTACTTCCTTCTGTGTCTAATTTGCTGTCTGTGACTTTAGATTCTGTTCTCTCCTCTGTCTGGATTTTCCCTGCGCTTCAGTTTGTCCTAACATCTCTCGTGCCTGTATTTTTTTTTTCTTGGATTTTTTGTTTCGTTTTTCGGTTTCATGCATTTGGGTCTTCACCTTACTCTGGAAATGACATTTGCTTCCTTGATATGAGAAAGAAGCAAATCAGGCGGAGTTCCTCACTTGTTGCAAATACTATTAACAAACTATAA